AAAAAAAAAAATCATGATTTTGCGCAGTGGCTAGGTCGGTCATAAACGTTTAATGTATTTTTTTTAAAAATTAGTGATAAAAAAATAAATGTCTTTCATGTGCATTATAATGTTAATTAACTTGACGTCTGAATGTTATGAAACTTATCATTTTTGTAAAGTATAATCAATTCCTAGACCAAGGTGAGCAACCTTTTTCCAAAATAACCAAAGATGTGGCGAATGAAAAGTGAAATTCGCCACATTATACTTACTGAGAGTTCCTAGTGTGGATGAACACAGAAAAAAGTCTTATGGAATGCGCTCTTTTGCAGCGATAGCGCCAAAATTATGGAACAGTTGGCCTTAATCTTTTAGGGGATATGAAAATTGAAAAAAAAATCATTATTTAAAAACTTTTTGCTTAAATAGATTTCGGAAAACCAGAGCGCAGTGAGCATGCTAAAGTGGCATGGATACCATCGCGATATAAATATCAAATCAATCAATAAAAAATCATAAACACTAATATTAAATCAAACGAAGAACCGTCGGCCGCCAAAGGTGGCGCCTCTGCTAGTTTTTTAATAAAATTTTGATTGCTAAAAATAGATATATTTAGTTTCAAAGCATGGTGTCTCGCCAGCGGCTGGGCGGTTACATTTTGCAGCATAAAGACAAATATACCAAATGATTAAATACAGCTATGAAAAACAAACATTATGAAAACACACACACAAAAATATTTCAATGAATAAAATAAGTAATTAATAGAATAATCTCAAATGTAAATTTAAATTCATACCTCCCTCAAATTAATGTCTAGACGGAAGACATTATGATTACGTCATTGGCGGGTGGACTCTTACGATTTTCCATTTTAATAATATATTTGTATCGTGCCTCTTAAATATTTTAAGCAACGCTTTATTCGTTAAAAAAAAAAAAAAATTGTTTGTCGCTCACATCTTATTGTTTGACAAAAAGCTAAATTAAAGCACAATTCGTATTGTTATGTGAAAGATATACATAAGCTTTCAAACTACTTCTTTTGTGTAAATAAACATGAAAGTATTCGTCAAGACTCTATTTGTTTAACAACAAGACAATTGTGGTATCGATAATACCAGTACCCAATGTCAGGTTGGTTCAGTAATAGAATGTTTTTTCAACGAACGACTAGATCTATTTGTTTCACAGTACATTATAGCTATTGATCATTAAAAAGCAATGAATTTCGCATATACTATAGTTTATAATTATATATTGATCAAGTCTCTCATGATTTCTGGGGTTTTCTAGAAAGAAACGAAGAAGACACAACGAAACAGGTGGCAGGTGCGTACCGTTGGCGTAATTTTTAATCTTACCAATTTTAAATATTATCAAAGTCTGACAAAAATGGCATGTGACGTTGTCGACGTTAGTCGATAATAATTTATTATGAAAGGTTTCTAAATATTTATGAAGCAAATAATATTGTAATACATAGTTTACCTTAGAATTGTTATATTATTAGAAAAGTTCTAAATGAATGAACGAATTAGCGTACCGTACTGCTTACTCACATTCCTAGTCATAGTCATAGTCGTAGTAATAAATTCTTGTCTAAACATGTTACATGTAATTTACTAATTGAAATTATATTGGTAATACTCTAACTCAAGTGACTTTAGTGAAATTTAAAGTTACATTAATTATTAATAAAGGTGTCCCTACTAACGATCGTTAACAATCTAAGACTAGTATGAGTTTTTATTCTGTCTCAACCTCAAACAATATGATACACAAAATATTAAAATGACATTAAATGATAATGGTAATTAATTAATTATCCGTGCCATAATTAAAATGTCATGTTAAACACTTTATACTAGTACTAAATAAGGCATAAACCTTAAGTAACTGTCATATTATATTCATATACCGTATATTATTAGCATACGATTCATATTATGAACATAAATGCATCATCTGAACCATTAAACTTAAACAAAAAATAAAACAGAGTTATGTAAATAAAGACCACCGGTATTGTTATAGTTCTATATAAAAATTGACGTGACCCAATTTTAGTTCATCAATGAATCGTATCGTTGGACTGTAGAAATGTTTCCTCCTTTGTATAAATGTATAAAACAGTGGTTCTCAACCTGTGGGTCGCGATCCCTTTGGGGGTCGAACGACCCTTACACAGAGGTCGCCTAAGACCATCGGAAAACATATATTTATGAAGAAGCAAAGAAAATAATATGTTTGGGGGTCACCACAACATAAAAGGGTATTAAAGGGTCGCGGCATTAGGAAGGTTGAGAACCACTGGACTAAACCAATTAACCTTTACTTGTGTTGGCGGGTCGTCGTCCAAACACAGCGTTTCTTGAACCTACTAGAAGTTTCTTATTAGTGATGTAAGAATTCTCGCTTGTCCTTCTAGACTAAGAGTTCGATTGTAGAAACGTCTGAGATATTGTCGTCTTTTGATGACAGGTAAATAGAAAAAGTAGCACCGACCGATAATATGTCGGTTACTTTGGTCTGTGAATAAGCAACCAATAATTTTAAACAAAAGGACTTTTTGGAACTTTTTCATTTCTCAGTCGCGATATTTAATAAACGTTTGACTCAAAAGAAAGTCAATGAAATGGATCAAGAAGGTGGGCTGTGGCGTTCTATGGGTAAATGCTGCCCGCGGCAAACTCCCCAAAAGTGTGCCCCCCCACCCCCACCCATTGATTAATGTACTGTTATGCCTATATAAAAAGCAAACGTGCCCTCGGGGTGGTCACCCCCTTTGTACGCAAATTAGGTTCGGGGATGGGATGAGGCAACATTCCTGTTGCTAATGGGGCATCTGCAGGTCTTAATCCGTCCCTTGCTCCCTTCTGCCATGGTGTGCAACAACTCACTGGACGCACCAGGGAGGCAGTACATCTATATACAGATATTAAATGCTTTTTTTTTTTGTGACGGTAAGAGCATCAGCACCTTAAACAAATTACTAATAAGGTTTAAACAAATTAATTTTTTTTTTTAATAATGGTTTAAATACATATTATTAAACAAAATTACTATTTAGTAATAATTATAAATTTGAGATCAGGAAGTTGCTCAAAATTGAGATGCAAAATTTCACCTCAAACTTAAAAATGGACAGAGCAATCTAAGAAAAAGCGTATTAAAAATGGGAAATAACAAACAAAATATGATGACTCAATTTAAGCATTGCAGGGGAAAATCAGAACGAAAAATCTATGATTGTGTGAAACAAAGGCAGTTGTGTGGAGTATAATTGAAAATTGCGACATGTAGCATATGCCTTATGAAAAAAATGAGTTGTTTGTGTGTTGTTGTTGCAGATATATTGTCTGGTAACCATGTGCTCATATTTTGTTTATGGAAGACGAATTTTCTCGTTTGTTAATGGATGTTTATTTTGTATTTGGCAAGGTGAGGTAACTCTTTATAAGTGCCAACCAAAAAATTGAAATTGGCATTCTATCAGTGGATGAAATTTCCCAATTGAAATCCCAGTATATTAGCTCTTTTAAGATAATAAAATCTCCCCCCCCCTCCCCCACCAATTTAAAATTAAAAATCCTTAAGTCATAAATATACATTTTTGAAATAATGCTCTCATAGGTTTTTATTTTTTCTCCAAAAATGGTTTTAAAAAAATCTATTTTACATTTATGTACGAAGTACTATTGTTTTTATTTAAAAGGAATGTGATCATTCAAAGAAAACTCTTTTGCTAACCGTTTATAAGTTGTTGTTTTTGTTTAAAGACTTTGACCAAAAAAAAAAACCAACAACAAACAAACCAACAAAAAAAGCACGCTCAAGATTTGTTTTGTTTTTAGCACAGAACAACAATCAGGTCAAAGAACCGAAAGTATTCAGGAGCGCTCATTACCGACTGGGATTTCTATTATAGCCTTGGGGAAAATATTCCACGCGCTGTTCGTGCGCTCATCCATCTTTTTAGTGGGCGTGAGGGTGAACACAGAACCCCATACCAAACTTCGTTAGAAACGCAGCAAATCTATTGGGGGCCAGTATGTAAAGAACTGACTGTCATTTCAGTTCTACTCGGTATTGGGATACTTATTCAACTTACGTCCTTGTGTAAGAAATTTCACCATAGTGTTGTTTTGTTTTGTGTTCTTGAGGATTGAAACGCCTTAATCAACAAAAAAAAAAGGCTGAGCAGAGCATCACGCCGATCTGGATTAGGGTATGCATTATTTACGTGTTGTGTTAAGAGGAAATAACCGTTGAACCCGACTCGCCGATTGTTTAATCTAATTTGAGGCGAGGCGATACAGGTAACGTGATTTCATTTTAAAATCAGCCCTCACTGGGATGCACATTCTGCTTTAGAGAAAAAAAAAGATTTCGTTGGGCTATTCATAATATATGTTAAGCAGCATTGTATGAAATTCATTTATCCTGTAGGTTTAGAAGTGGTGGGTACGGGGGTAGAGCTATTACTAGGGTAGCACATATAAATTGAGGGGGAGGGGTGGGAGAGAGAGAGAGAGGGGGGAATTAAAAAATGGACCATGTTTTCTCTCCCCCCCCCCTTTTCCCTTTTTCCCAATACTCACGCGAACGACGAGAGCTCCCGATTGGACCCGCCCTTGGCGCCAGATGCTGACACCACGGCCGTTATTGACAGGCGTAGTGCTTGCGTCTGATTGAGGGGGGGGGGTGGGAGAGGGAGAGGGGGGGGGGAATTAAAAAATGGACCATGTTTTCTCTCCCCCCCCCCCTTTTCCCTTTTTCCCAATACTCACGCGAACGACGAGAGCTCACGATTGGACCCGCCATTGGCGCCAGATGCTGACACCACGGCCGTTATTGACAGGCGTAGTGCTTGCGTCTGATTGGTTGTGGAGAACGCAGGATTAATTTACGACCGCTCCGGCCTAATGCTATTTATGCTGAGGTCACCCAGTAAGGCGATCCATTCAATAAGCGTGAGCAGACGCGACTACTGCCGTGCATCCCGACTTCGCGTGCTGCCGACTGGGGATAGAACTCTTGTGTTTCATTTATAGAGCAGAGAAAACCGAGAAAAGTTTGGATTTTTACTTAACTTCTCGAGCCTTCGGTTTTAGTTTGTCTGTGTTTTGTTGTTTGGATTTACTAAAGCAAAAATATAAAAAAAATTATCTAAATGCAGGTATGTACTCACGATAGTGAGAAACATGGCTTCAATGTTTTCATATAGTTCTATTTGTATCCCTTTTATGCTTCAGTGGTGATAACTGCTTCTACTTCTTCTAACTGTGGTAACTTGGTATTGAAACCGTGTGAATTAGTGGCCGTGCAGAACAAAGGACTACCATACTTCACACTTCCCACCAGCTGCAGTGGTATGGCCCAAAGCTGCAGTCAAAATAGTTATCCATTGTGTGCACCAGTCATGGTAAGTTTGCCCAGCCATTCTCAAGACAAGCCAACTCTTTGCTGCTCACCCCTTCTCAAAGCTCGTCTTCCTCCCTGAGTTTTTTTTTTTTTTTTTTTTTTTTTTAAATCTCTCCCCCTTTTCCTCTTTCTCCTGCTGGTATACTGGCGATCAGGGATCTATCGTTCTGCTACTGTTTATTGGGCCACTGAGGTATCCCTTTGAGTTGACCCATGCTGACGTTTTATTTAGTTTGTTTATCTTCACTTACTGATGTTTAGTCGTATTTTTCTATATTATTTTGCTTGGATTTTAAAAATAATATTTTTTTTTTTTTAGTTTGAGTGTATTTATTTTACTAGTGTTTACCCACATGTTCGTTTTTTTTTTTCCTTTTGAGAGTGTACACACACACACACACACACACATATATATATATATATATATACATATATATATATATATATATATACATATATTATATATATACATATATTATATATATACATGTATGTATGTGTATACGTATATATACATTTACATACATATGTCAATTTAATTTCTCGACGTGTTATCTTTTTCTCATAACTTCTCACATGTTTCTTCCTTTGCTTGAGGCTTTTATAGTTGTATTTACTTTAATTTAATTTAAAAACATTATCTACCATTTAAAAAAAAAAAATGTTACAAAAATGATATTGCTTGTCTCCTCGTGGCATTTGTTAAAACAGTGGTTCTCAACCTTCCTAATGCCGCGACCCCGTAATACATTTCCTCGTGTTGTGGCGACCCCCAGCCACAACATTATGTTCGTTGCTACGTCATAACTGTAGCGCATATGTGTTTCAGATGGTCTTAGGCGACCCCTGAGAAAGGGTCTTGTAACCCCCAAAGGGGTCGCGACCCACAGGTTGAGGACCGCTGTGTTAAAACAACACATCAAAGCCAAACAAAACACTACCCTCTACCTATTTTTAAAATCATGCCAATCCCACTACTCAATTCTTTTCCTACTTTCCTACTTTCAAATCATTGTCTTTCTTGTTTCAACTTTTTGTATCATTTAGCTATCTATTATTCTTAGCAAACAAATAAAAATATACCTTTAATCCCAATCACTCAACTGGCTCTTCACAACTGCCAGTGAAACAACCCCCCCCCCCCCCCCCCCAAATAAATAAATAAAAATAAATCGTCACATCCCTTATAGTGTTGCCGTTATGTCTCATTTCCATGTAGGCTATATTTCGATTCCATCATCATAATTAGATTCATACTTACCACGAGATTTCAATCATCGTGAGTAACAACGATAAATTAACAGACGCCTTTACAGTAGGCAGGGGATAACAAAAAAATCCATGCCTGTGTTTAAATCATGATGACACATGCGTTCGCTATGCCGGAAATAGGCGTAACCGAACTGTGACTGTATTTAAACAAGATTAGCGCCACGTGCTACACACGGTCTGAAATATTACTTTCTCTCATCCATGTCCAGGCACGTGAACGTTTCTAGGGCTTAATTTTCTTGAACAATCTTTTGGTCCTGGCTTATTTTCTATTCGCCCAGCTTCGGTGTAGATGGCATTGTGATGTATGTCGTGCCTTTTCCTCAGATCACTCTCGGAGATCATGCCATTATGGACCAGTCATCTCAAGTCGGTATCACACAAAACGGGGGCACCACGTCCCCGTCTCACTCGGACGACGGTGTCAGTAAAACCAATCTGATCGTCAACTACCTACCACAGACCATGTCTCAGGACGAGATCCGCTCATTGTTCTCCAGCATTGGGGAGCTGGAGAGTTGTAAACTCATACGGGACAAGCCAACCGGTAGGTATATAAATAATGGCTGTCCTCACTTCTCCACCACCACTTCATCACCACGTCACCACTACACGGAAAACACCGCAACATTTAGAAGCTTGCTAGCTCGACCTCCTCCCCCCCCCACCACTTTTCCCGTCCATTATTTTCAAATGGGCGTGCAGCTCAAAAGCGGCCGACATTTCCTTTAAAAGTCCATCCATATGGCACCTAAGTATGAGTTTAAGGTAAAAACGCCGGGGTAAGGATTAAGATTAAGCTGATTAGTTTGGTTTGAAGGCTATGATTACCGAGACCTTTCATTGTGATTCAGTTTTTACTAGGATTATTATTCTTTCAAGAGCGAAATAAAACTTAAAAGAGCAAAACGTGAGGGAGGTTATTGTTGCCAGGGGGGGGGGGGCATGTTACATATGTAAGGCATTAATTAATTATAGTACTTGGAATTGTATTACATTTTCGTTCCTTTGTTAAAGAAATTGGATTGGAGTGTGTGGTTAGGGGCTGGAATGAGCCGCTCACAATTCACGGTGTTACCCATTTATGAAGTTGTTGAAACTACCCAAGTGTCGCTCTTGGTCACCCTCTTTAAGCCCCAAAATAAACTAAAAGGATTCTTACACAACCAGAGTCAACTAAAGCAGTATAGTTCTCAAATGACGATAAGAATGATCAAGCCTATTAAAAATGAAAACAAAAATCATTAGCAAGGGCACAGCTGATCCTTCATTCATGCAGTATTGCATCGCGCAAAAAGTTTTAAACGCATATTTTTCTAATATGTTCAACAATCAATACATTCCCGAAGTGGAAATGGACGAACAACACACATTTGCGCTTCTAAACTATACATACGATATACATTCTTAAGTGCTTTCTTGCAACGCATATTTCGCCATTATCCAGTGAGACTATTGACCGCCTCGGATTGTTTTACCGCCAGCTGTTGTACTAGTCGGTATTTATTGATTTTCTTTCCCCTCACTAATTGCGCCGCTGAGATTAGGCTAATTCACTGTTTGAAAAGTAATTGTGGTGGAATAAGCAGCGTTATACACATTAATTATTAGTCTGCTTTATTGAGACAAACGGTAAATAAACACATTGTTTGGCTACTGAACTCTGAGCTAAGCTAGTGAGGGCATCGGTATAGCCCACTGCAGTTCGCCATGTTCCTTTCAAACCGAGTTAGACTTTCCATATTGGGATATTAATAAAAAGGGGCCATTGGGACTCCCTTTGTGTGAGGTACACCAGTCATCTGTGGGAGGAAATAGAGATAAAAAGACTCGGGTGTAGCGTGTGGGGGGGGGTTGTCGGGGGGGGGTGGTCGGGGGGGGGTGTGGGGGATGTGCACCGGTGGCGTGTGCCAGGCGCGTGCGGGACATTATTCTTATTTGAAAAGGGGCCCGAGGGGAGGGGGTGGGGCGTGTTAGTAACGGGCCAGCTGACACGAATGGAAGATTGACGTTGTGCGGCAGCTGTTGGCGTGAGCTTATTTGCTTCTGTTGCCTAGGCCTAGTGGTGTAGTAGGCCACATTCATCCCCGGTGTGCTCTTTGCTTGGGTTGATGTAATATTTTTTTTTTACACAACTCACCAACTGTGCATTCTGCTTACATCAACGAGCATGGGCTGTTTAATGAAATTCAGATTAAGGTTATCATGGTTATCTGCGAACACCCCCCCCCCCCCCCCACCCCCCCCCCCCCCCCGTCAGCCTCCCTCCGCTGATGTTTTACCCGTATTTCCATCCACCGGCCCTAGCCCCGCTTGGGTTTTCTTTGTCTCTGCTGCTGCCAGCCGAGTGAGCACACCCACACAGGTCTGCCTCGAGAATAAAATAGAAAACACTGGTAGAAATCGGTGTAAAATGTTGAACGTTTGATTGAACAGGTCTAGCTGCTCGCTTAACCACGTTTAAAAAAAAAAAAAAGAAAGAAACGTTTTTAAAAAAAAGTTTAAGGTCTGCCTCGAGAATAAAATAGAAAACACTGGTAGAAATCGGTGTAAAATGTTGAACGTTTGATTGAACAGGTCTAGCTGCTCGCTTAACCACGTTTAAAAAAAAAAAAAGAAAGAAACGTTTTTAAAAAAAAGTTTCATGGTGATTAACAAGGTCGTTCTAAGTTTATAGCTAAATGAGTTTAAACGCTAGGTTGATCCTAAATGTGTTTGGATTTAATTAAGCAATGGGAGGTTATTGACCAGGAAAATACCACAAAATATCTATGTCCAGTTAACGTAGTACATAGTGGGCTTATGGTTAATCGTTAAAGTCCTTAAGATAATTTCTTAATGCTGGATCGATAGGCTCACTTCCTTCAACGTATTTCATCACACTTTCTTGTCAAGTCATACAGATCACACTCCTTTTCACCTCAATCTCTTCTGTACTTTTTTTGTTAAAGTTAAAAAAAATAATTAAATAATTTAGAGAGAGAGAGAGCGAGAGCAAGATAGTGTGAGAAAGTGGATTGAAGAGGTGGAAAAGGAAGGACAGGGATTAAAATAATTTTAAAACTATTGAGCTATTTTGGGGAAGGGCACATGACACTAAAACATTTACAATGGAGACCTAAAAGAGGAATAAAATGAACTGAAACTGAGCTGGCTAGTTATTAGTTAACAGGTTTGGATCTGATAAGCAGGGTTAGTTAAGTAGTACCATATGCCAAATGCATAATGCATATGTCAGGTGCAGTGCTGTATAAAATAAATATCAAGGCATATCTTTATGGGGACACAAGTTCACATTTGTTGCCATAGTGTTAATTCATCTGCATATTCATCAATACCAAGTTTTTCAACCCGCTACACATTATAGAATACACAAAGGAAGATGACAATATCGCTACAATTGATAGTAGTGGGTATAATTTCCACACAGTTTTCATTTTCCAGTCATGACTCCTCTATATTTTAAAGAAAAGTTTATAACTTATAAATACAGTATTTTACCCTTTTATACAAAAAACATCCCATGAATGACCTCTCTCCACCCGCACAGACATCTTTTTGTCCATACTATACTCCTATCTTAACAGCAATAAAACGTTTGCCTTTGAATGAATCTTTGATATTCTCAATATTTTTGTTTTAAAAGTTGGAGATCAAGGAGAAGAAAATGTACCTGTTAATTGAAAAAACATTCATAGAACTAAATTAATTTATGCTAATATGAATAATATAGAAATTAAATGAAGCTGTTTCCTGATGATATATGGGGGGATTTATAAATCAGCCAAAGGGAAATTATTTTTAAAGTCATATACATTGAAAGCTGAACATTACGACTTTCACTTACCCCATGTTTTTCTGTGTAAATTTCACCCAACAATTCAATATCTTTAACATTGACCAGTCAAGCGGATAAATATGAATGATCTGAAAAGACGTTCATAAAGGAAGAAGGAAAAAATATTTTTCCCATTGGATTGCATTTGATAATTGTTAGTTCTTTATTTTTTATTTTTTTAGTATACAGACAGCATGAGTTCTGTAGAGATTAAATACCTGTTCATATTCTTGATTACAAATAATATGATCTGCTCAGTTTATATTTAAAATATATAAGCAAAGCTTTGTTTTCTAAAAATGTTTACTGAATGGATAGTATTAGCTTTAAAGGATTTTATAAATAGATGGTGCTTTTTGTGGCAGTGACTCTACACATGCATGGAGTTATTTTATATGGCCGATAGAGGATTGAATATAGCCTACTTGTACAGGTGCCGACAACTGAATACATCTACATGATTTAGTCATTATGAAAGAAAGATCATTATTTGGTTGTTTTTTTTGTAAAGGAAATATAAAGGAAAATAAAAAACCAGATTATATCTCTTATCTTTTCTTTAAAATATTACCATCTGTTGTGAGAAAATAACATAAAAGGTATATATTTTTGTAAATTAATGCAGTCTTAATTGAAAGTAAGCTTATAACATTTTAAATATAAGCAGGGTAGCCTAGCCTGTCTTAGATTATAGAAAGCTAAGGATAGAAGCTTCAAAGAAAGCACATACATCAAACCCACTCTAAAAATGGCATAAAACACCTTAAAATTACTTCAATGACATGAGTATAGACATCTTTACATCATTCACACCCACCACTGACTCTAGAATGCTTTCTTATGTAACAGCATGTTTACCTGTGAGGAGGATATGTTATTACAGTGAAAGATTTTGGGAAAGATTCTGTGTGTGTGTGAAGGTTTTATAAGCTTATAATAATATATATTCAATTTTTAAGTGGCATTAGTGGTTTCCAAACTGAAGGGCATGCTCCCTGCGGGTTAGGGTGGGGGTTGAAATTTTTTATGCCAATATATTTATCTGTCTGTATTATTCTATGATATAGTGTGAGCACAGATACAAAAATATATGTTTAAATAGTCATCAACCTTTTGTGGAAACTAAGAGGTCTAGTAACAATATAGTTTGGAAACCACTGATTTACATTGATTTATGATTTTTTTGATGGATTTGAAAGCTGTGAGAAGAGAGAGTTGGTGTGAATGAGTTAGCGATGTATATTTACAATTAGATGCAGCAACAAATTTTTTCTGACAACCCATGTGAACTGATACAGACCCTCTGACTCCCTCCCCAGGGCAAAGCCTGGGATATGGGTTTGTCAACTACAAAAGGCCAGAGGATGCGGAGAAAGCAATAAACACACTCAACGGTCTACGGCTACAGAACAAAACAATTAAGGTAACCCTTTTGTTGACTTTTGTAATCCTCTATTTTTAGTATTTAATAAAAATGTATGTTTTTTTGGTCATAGATTTGAAAGAAATTTTAGTTTTCTTTTAATTTATTATCATTTCCTTAAAGCTCTGTACCTCCCATAAGCCTTGATATAATTTCATTTCCTGTTTGGGGCAGTGGGCTCATTCTTTAATATTATGATTTATTAAACTTATTTATTTCTACAATATTTATTATTGTAATTATTGCTAACAAACCTTTATTTGAGTGTACTGTATCGGTATGTTCTAGCTCTAGTCTCTGATCATAGAGTCACATTGTTGTTTCTCAGACCCTCAAAACAGTTGTTACAGGTGCCGTTTATCAGTAAGAAATATTAGTGCTGTGTGTATCTTAATGTAGCTGTAGGGTGATCTTGAGAGATTTAAGGTAGCAAAGCAGCAAGTCTCCAAGTCCAAAAATGTCCTTGAGGAAGTTGAAAAAGTCATGGATAATCGAAGAGTGCATCAGTTTAAGATTTTATTTTTCATGTACATATAATTTTTTAAAATTAATTTTACCCCCTCAATCTCACTCTCAATTTTGTTTCTGAGTTAAACAGTTGAGTTTGTTTGGTTTGTACTGTGTATATTTTATACTTGTTTTGTCTTTATACTTTCAGGTTTCCAACTGTATTACAATTTGGTTGCATTTCACACTTTCCTTTTACTTAATTTATATGATTTTTTCAGTAAACCCTGAGAGACAAGCCCTTGGCAAAAAACTTGTTCCACCACACTTTCAGTTTATGTTTTATAACCTCTGTGATATTATTTCACATTCAACAGGTGGCACCAGATTTTTACCCCCAAAAACAGCAACAAAAAAACCAAATACAAATAAAGTTTTTAAAATGAAATCTGCTTAACTGATCTAAAAATGGAATTTATTATACTGTTTTAAGTTGCTAATTCTTTTGTAGGATTTTTGGATTCCAGAACTCTAAGGTTTATTTTATTATAAGGAGAGTAAAATTTAAAAATAAATTAATACATTAAACAAATAATTATGTATTTGCTTGTCGAATTTAAATTAATGGATGGACAGGAAGAAACTAGCAGGAAATCTAAATGAAGACTTTTATCAAATGATAACTTTCATAAATTTGGATCTAATGTTTTCCCTAGTCAGATAGAACAGTTCACTTTGGGAATATCCCAGTCCATGGTGCCACCAGTTTACTGGTTTCTTCATTTGCGTTATGGTCCTTTGAGTTTGTTTTGTTTTGCATTTTTTAAAAGTCTCTGTTGATTTTCAGGTATCTCTTGCACGCCCCAGCTCTGAGAGTATTAAAGGAGCTAACTTATATATTAGTGGCTTGCCTAAATCTATGACACAGTTGGACTTGGAGGCACTGTTCTCTCAGATCGGAAATATCATTACATCAAGAATACTTTATGACCAAACCACAGGTACTACCTCCGTTATAGAAGCACACTCGGCCACGATGTGGTGCATCAGTGTTTGTTCCTCGGATATTTGCTATGGAAAAACCTCAAATTTCTGACATTCAATGAGGCAAATGGTGTGGGCCTGAGAAGCAAGCTTGCGTGATGTTTCCCTCCTTTTAATGTAGCCAAGTTTGGTCACTGTTTAATGCCCCCATCCAATACATCTAGCCACATAGCTCCACCATGTAAACAGTGCATGCAAAATTAACCTATTTAGGATTGAAGGTTTCCTTCATTTTTATTTTCCACCCTGTCTTGGCAAAATCTTCTATTATTCTTTTATTTTTAGTTATCAGCCTCATTTGGTTAACAATTTTCTCAGTTTTTTTTTCCTTAATAATTTTATTTCCATATTTTGGACCCTTGTGTTCATGCAGGCTTCTTTGTACTAATACCCCTTTCATTTGGCTGATTGAATCTCATTGTCATGGGATCTGAAAATCTGAGGAAGAGATCCTGGTGCATCATTTGCCCCTAGAGGGCAGCTATTGTCCCCCCAGCCACCCAGAGGGAATAAACATGAATTTAACTAATTTTTCTAGGTATCATATGCAAGGCCCAGTAGTGAAACTATAAAAGGTGCTAACTTGTATGTAAGTGGGCTGCCAAAGTCAATGGCCCAGCAGGATTTGGAGAAGTTGTTCTCTCACTGCGGGAAGATAATAACGTCGCGAATTCTTTATGATACAAACACAGGTCAGGTGTTCTTCAGCGTCTACTTGTTTCCGTTACATAGTCTCTTTGGTTCAATTTTCATTTCAATTCTTTCATTTACCATTTGTTTGTGCATGATGGTCCATATTTCTAGTTGTTTTAAGCTCAGTTTTTGCTCCTGTATTTATTTACTTTCTATTTTCCTATGTATGCTTTGTTTTGTTTTTTTTCTTCACTATACTTGTTCCACCTCTCTTTTTAGTTTTCATTTATTCACCAAAACAGAAAGACCTGGGTCTTTGTTTACATTAGCTTAATAATGAGTTGAGGAGTAAATTGAAGTTGTATTTGTTTGACTAAAAACGTTAAGTTGTTTCTCTCTTTTATTTTAAGGCTGTAAAGATTATGGGCCATATACAACCTTAATTAAGCAATCATTGCTGACTATTGTGTGATAAAAGTAATGTCATTTACTGCACACACAAAATTTGGTACAATATATTTGTTAGAGGTACATTTTAAAAAAAAGAAAAAAAAAGACAGACATTGATCAGCAGTTGGCCTTAACATCTGATTGTAGGCTTTAAAAAATAACACAATTATAAAAATAACAGTAGAGGGCCCAAGACTGAATATTTGTGTTAGTTCTGTTAGTTATCTAGATTTGTTGAGATACATTTTTGAAACAACTGGGCTAAATTAAAATTGTTACTTGTTGTGAAAGTGTTTATTCTCTTTAGGCAAATGACATTTTGGTTTTTATTTTATTTTTCATTTGAAAAAAAAAAAAACACTTTTCATTAACTTGTTTGAATTGTTTCCTAAATTTTTTTATTTTAGAGCTTGATATTGTCAATATTGTGTTGTGGACCATTCAAGTGCTTTTTACACTTTCTTGAAAACCAGTTTGTTTGATTTTATGTCTTTGTTATATTTTGTTTTCATTTCTTGGAGTTATTGACAAGAAAACCTGTGGCATTTTCATTATGTACAACAAAAAAAGGAAACTGAATGGGCCTTGTGTTGATACCTGGACCTTAGAAGACACATAATATATATCCATACACCTCCTTACTTCCTCTAGTTATATATTTTAATGCATTCATTTCTATCTATATATATATATATATATCTATTTCTAAGGTAGATTGTATTTAATTTTTTGCTTTGTACATGATGGAAATGCATGAGACTGCCATCTGCACATTTCTTCAATATACATTAATATATTTGTATATACATCTTTATATTTATAATTTATATAGATATATGTTATCTGAGATAAGTATTTGTTTTTTTACATCTCATCTAGTATTAACACCCACCCCCCTCAAAAAAAAAAAGACAAAAGATTTAAGCTATATAAAAATCATGAATGCTGTTTTGCTATTTATGAATGATTATAATTACAAAGGCTACTTTAAATATAAAATTAATTTAACACCATCTTGGTCACAGACTACTTCTCAGACATTTCTTGATTACGTTAAGAGGTTGTCTCAACATGATTAATTTATAACCAAAATCATTCAAACATGTCACCTTGCCTGATTTTGACATAGTGGACAGTCAACTCCAATGCCCCTCACAACTTGCCAACTAATGTCTTACAGGCTTGTCCAAAGGGGTTGGTTTCATCCGTTTTGACCAGCGGTGTGAAGCTGAACGTGCCATTCAGAAGTTAAACAACCACATTCCCGAAGGATGCTTGGACCCTATCACAGTCAAATTTGCTAACTCCCCCAGCTCTAACAAAAATTTGGCAGGCATGGCACCCTTAGCCCTTGCTACATATTTGTCGCCTACTCATCGTCGGTTCTTTGGGCCCATACATCATGCTACTGCGTCAAGTAGATTTAGGTGAGTTAATTTACATTAACCTTGATAATTTGTTTTATCTAAGTTGCTTAACACATACACATTTTTTTTCAAAATTCACATGCTGTATTATTTAAGTTATGGTGCCCTACATTATGTGTGCTCTTAATCAAAATTTCACTATTTATGTACATTATGGGTATAAATATTCACTCATTTTTATTGATGAAGAGCGCCATTTAGACTATATCTATATTATGCTCCAAACATTTAGCTCTGTAGCAGTCTTTTAACTAGAACATGAATGGAGCTAAATTTAAATTCAAACCCAACTAACACAAATAAATACACACATTGCCACTATGAAATTAGGAGAATGTTAGTAAAAATTCTGTAAAAATCCAAATCTCAGAATTTTTTTTTTCTTTCCACCAGGTATTCTCCTCTTGAGTCTGGTTTGCTGCAAAACACCATTTTACCCACAACCCTCACCACGGCAGCTTCAGCGGCAGCGGCAGCAGCAGCAGCATCCAACAGCAACTCCTCAACCACAGCGCTAAATGCCACAGGCTGGTGCATCTTCGTCTACAACTTGGCCCCCGACACCGAGGACAGCGTCTTGTGGCAGCTCTTCGGACCGTTCGGAGCCGTGCAGAGTGTCAAAGTCATTCGGGATTTTACCACTCAGAAGTGCAAAGGATTCGGTTTTGTCACAATGACCAACTACGAGGAAGCTTTGATTGCAATACAGAATCTCAATGGATTTACCCTGGGCAATCGTGTTCTACAAGTGTCATTTAAAGCCAATGGGCGTAAACCATGACTTTAGATCAGTATCTTTGCTCATTGGTCCAACACAAGTAAGCATCACAGAAAATACTGACATTCTGCTTTACAGCAATATATATCATACAAATGTGTGTGTGTGTTATACATACACATATTTTAAAAGCTAAAAAAAACATAAAAAATAACTATGAACAAATATCACAAAATAAGTACTATCGTAACAAAATATAATTTTGCACAAAATCTGTCAGCTATACGAATGTATTCACTGTAAAAGCCTGCTATCACAAAATCTATTTGCTCAGGACTCAAATTAAGGAAATTGAAAAGTGATATCTGAAAGTTATATGTTTTATATTAGGTTGAATTGAAAAACTATTGTTGATGTAATATTCTCTTCGGAGAAATGCTCTTTGAAAAATATTTTAAAAAGTAAGTAAATTTCTGTATAAGCTTTGTAAAAAAAAAAAAAAAAATGTGGAGAAATCTGCTAACGACGTTAAAATTGCTGGGTGATATTTTTTACAAGTCACAGTTTATTGGGCTGATTGTAAATTTGTAAAATTGATCATATTGTGAGGACATACTTTTAAAACTTAATTTATAATCTTCAGTAATATTTTAACTCTTTTTTTTTTTTTTTTTTTTTGTGTGTCTTTTTCTTTCTTTTAAAATATTAGTTTTAAAGCAGCATCTACAAGATATTTGTGCATAATAATAATAATTATTTTAATTTACCGTTTCAAATCTGTATAATTTGAGTTGGACTTTAATTCAATGGTTGATTTTATTCATAATTTTTTTTCGGTCTTCATACCTTTGTAGCATTTTCCACATGTAGTACAACAAACTGGAAAGCGATAACTGCATAATATTTGTCATGTATGGATGTATGTGAATTTCTGTGCTTCAGGTGCACGTAGAAGCTCAATTCTCTACTCAATGTTTATAATGGACCTTTATTTGGATTTGATTGCTTTTGGTTACTTTGTTGTTGGCTTTTATTTTCTCTGCTTTTTTTTCTCTCTCTCTCACTCTCTCTGGCTCTCAAGAGGGAACAATTTTGTTCTATGATTTCATCTATTAAACATTTTTTCTTGTGTTCATCTCCTGAGTTGTGTTTTTGTTGTGGCATGAATCTTATGATTTTTTTATTTAAAAAAGAAATTTGACCAAACCCCCCCTAATTGACCCAGAACTTGCTCCCTTGACTGGACTTGTATAGACAAGATTTCTTGCAAGCAGTCAAGTATGAAATGAGTGGCAGCCCTCGCCCCCTCTCATTGAGACCACAGACATAATATAGCATGAATGTGATAAAAAGACGTGCCACAAACACATTACTTTTTAAATCTAACCAAATTAATTAGTTTTGATTTTTTTTTTTCATACTAATTTGTGTCTAACTCAAGTCATTTTTGTTTTGTCTGCTTTTGTCCTATTAACACTATTTGTTGGAGTTGGACTCGCACTAATTTCTATCCACTAAACTCGGTAACCTGAAACTCTATTATTGAATTATTGGTATCTAATAATTTTGCTAACAGCTTTGAAAACTGTTGCATGGATTTCTGCTTACAATATTAGTTCATAAAACTACAAATTTTTTCTTACCTATCCGGTTTGATCGGATTTGTTACAAGATTTGTGAGGAATTGCTGAATTCTATTAGCAAATAATTGAGATCTTCCAATAACACAATTTGCTGATGAATTTTTGATGTTGTTGACAATTTTTTTATTCATTCTCTCACATTTCTTTAAAAAATTCATCCAGTTTTTTTTTGTGTGTGCAATGGTCACAAAAGTTTACACTCCAATTTATGGCTTTTTAACATTGGATTGTTTATGCTAATATATAGGGCATACTTCCTGTAAAACCTAAATCAGTTTCATTCTGTTAGGAAGAGAGAGAACACACACAAAATTAGGAAGCTCATGAAAAATCAATTCAGCATCATTCTTTGAAATGTATTTTTTTAAAAAGAAAGAAAAATCAGTCTAAATCTACTAAAAGAATAATTTTAAGAAGGAAGTGGTCTGAATGGCAAATCTCTCTATAACTGACACCACCACCCCCCCCCCCCCCCCATCCCAAAAAAAAAAAAATTACATTATATAAATAAGCATAACGCTAGAGAACTTGATGTATTGTAACACTGCCCAGTTCATGTCTTGGAAGGGGCAGCTTTTGTTTTCTTGTCAATGCCAAATGTGATCATCTCTCAGTGTATTCACTGTGCTGTGAGGCTGGGCGCGTGTCCGAGAGGACTGGTGAGTATGACAGGTGTGCGTCAGCTTGATTTTCGTGTGCGTGTGTGATGAGTGTACACGAACGAGGGAACAAATAAAACAAAACCAACAAAACTCGACCAGCAAGAAGGAAAGAGAAGAGAATGACTTCCGGCCAGTTGTTGGCGCCTTTTGGTGTGTAACGGGACGCCGCCGGGTCGTCATTGTGTTCAGCTGCTCCCCAGTATCATTATAGCAAGTTTTTTTTATTTTTTCCTTCAATATTGTATATGATATCTTAGAGTGATGGCCTCGCTTTTTGTTGTGGAGATTTTATTGCTCCAACGTTATTAGTATTTATACTGTTCATACACATACAAAAAATAATAAACTTCACTAGGCAATCATGTTGAAACCAGTTATATGATGTACAATTATTGTTCTATTGTCTAATGTAACAGCAAATATTTCTTTTTAAGACCCAACTTCCACCCCCCTCCCCCCCAAACTTCCAGCTGTCGTATCCCCCTCCAATCCCCCAAAACCCTGTTTTAGGCTCAAGACGCCTATTAATAATATATGCAATTCCATTTTTTATTGACTCCACACTATTTGTGGCAACTATACAATTTTTCAACTATGGTAGAAAATATTATGCTAATTATGATCGGACAAACTATTACGGCGTTGGCGGTCTGAGCCACGCCTAACCACTAAAGCCTCTAAACCCCTAGCGTGGCTCTTCAGCTCTACTCTAGTCTGGGGCTTTTCTTGACTGTACAATAGATATTTGTGTTCATTCCATCCACGGACGCACCGAGCAGGACGATTTGCTTTCATTAAGTAGTCCTTCTTTTCTCCTACTTCTTAAACAAACCCAGTGTGTAGTCATTGTTTCAATTCGTAGGTTCATTTCCGTAGCTTCTGACACGTTAGGGTTCCTTTTCTTCTCAAACATGCTTATCCCACGCATGTGCCATCATTTTCTTTTTAAACGATTTTTTTTTCTCTCTTTGGAATCCAATTAGGCTATGCTTTGGTGTCCTTTAAAAGAAAAAAAAAATTTCCGCCGCCCATTCTGTTCTCGGGGTCTGTTATTTTATTTTCTCCAGTCGTTGTTTTCACAAATGCCTCAAAGTTTGACTTAAAGTCTACGATCTATTTGGCTTTTCCGGTGGCGGCTTCAGAGATAGCTTCCACATGGACGCGTGACTCTTCGCTGGCGGTAACTCGACAAAAATCGAAGAGACATAAACTATGGTTTGATTGAAGGATTCGTTCTATCAATTTAAAATTTACAAAAAATAATCCGTGAACCGCCACTCTGCTTTCTCAACAAAGTTCAGTTGGCCTACTAAAAAAATAATTTGTTTCGAAGTATGGTCTTAAAACAACGAGTCAAGAAAATTCCCCAGAAGGCTTTTGCAGATAACGTGTCATTTTTGTTTAGATTAAAAAAGTTCGCAATGTCTTGATACCTCTTTAGCTATTTTCGAAGATATCCCTTCCCCAGATTTTGTTTCGTGTATCGTACGTTGGTTGTTTGAATAGTTTTGATGACTCCATGTTTTTTATTAAACGTTCGGTGTTTATTGTTTTTTAATTCAAAGTTTTGATTTTTTTGACTCTAATTCATTCCAATGTTTGATCATATCACTCGGTTGGTCACCTTAGGTAGATTTTTACACTCGTGGGCAGTTCACCACTAGACCATGTTTTCAGCTGATCTCAAACCTCGTAGAGCTTAATAAACCCCCATCTCTAGAACAACTGATTTGGTTTTAACCCCCCCCCCCCACTCCCCCCAACCCCTAACATTTCTAATTTTAACACGATAACATTTGGTTTCCGCCAATAATTTTTTTTTTTCTTTCGAACATTAAAAATATTTGGTAGCTTTATTTCTCTCTTCAGATACTAACAGCTAAAAACCTACCTATGTGTGTTTTGATTACATTTTTAATTCTACTAAATATTCTCTCGATTTTGTGTGCTTCAGCCCATTCTGTTAGTTTGTTTCCTATAATGTTACTCCACATTTAATTGATTGAGCTTACACACTGAGTTGTTCAGTTGTTGACCCCCCTCCCCCTTCCTTAATCTCCCCGCTTTCTTTGGTTGGTGTTATTTATTTATTATTTATTTCTTTTTTCGGCTGAAGGTGCACATATAAATGCACTGTTTAAAATATATATTTAAAAAATGAGAAAAAAAAAAACATTTTGAAAAAAAGCCACTTCCTTAACTGACCAGCTGTCTGCATCATGACGCTATACAGGCTCTAGACCGTTGTCCCATTTATTAACAGTAGTTTGGTTGTATTGCAATATTTGTACTTTTACATGTGAAAACATTTACAAAATAAAACACACAAAAAAAAATGTATGGCACAGTTGAGTTTTGCTTTGTATTTCTTAACTTCTCTTGTGACCATAGCCATCTCACAGATTGGGGAGTTGAATCTGTTTCCCAAGCGACACGCTGATAGTGACCAAAGTTTGGGGGCTTTGACCAGCCCAGTCGACTTAAAAAACTTTAAGCCCCCCCCCCCCCCCAAGTCGCAGCAACTCGATTCAAGATATCTTATGGTACGAGCCCTAACTTTTAAAAAAAAATGCTTTCGCTCTCCATGACAAAGCCTCGGGGATCTGCGTCACTGCTGGAAAGATATCGACATTAACCTGCTAGCTAGTTGGCTCATTGGCGATAGACCTGCTGTTATTTGGCTATCGACATTAACCTGCTAGTTGGCTCATTGGCGATAGATCTGCTGTTATTTGGCTATCGACATTAACCTGCTAGTTGGCTCATTGGCGATAGATCTGCTGTTATTTGGCTATCGACATTAACCTGCTAGTTGGCTCATTGGCGATAGACCTGCTGTTATTTGGCTATCGACATTAACCTGCTAGTTGGCTCATTGGCGATAGACCTGCTGTTATTTGGCTATCGACGATTAACCTGCTAGTTGGCTCATTGGCGATAGACCTGCTGTTATTTGGCTATCGACGATTAACCTCCTAGTTGGCTCATTGGCGATAGACCTGCTGTTATTTGGCTATCGACGATTAACCTGCTAGTTGGCTCATTGGCGATAGACCTGCTGTTATTTTGCTATCGACGATTAACCTGCTAGTTGGCTCATTGGCGATAGACCTGCTGTTATTTGGCTATCGACGATTAACCTGCTAGTTGGCTCATTGGCGATAGACCTGCTGTTATTTGGCTATCGACGATTAACCTGCTAGTTGGCTCATTGGCGATAGCCCTGCTATTATTTGGCTATCGACGATTAACCTGCTAGTTGGCTCATTGGCGATAGACCTGCTGTTATTTGGCTATCGACGATTAATCGGCCATTTTTGGGTTTAGCGAAGCTAGATTGGTTGACTGGTTCTTCTATAGATAATAGTTTAGTCGGAATGAATTGATTCGATGAATAACACCGTTCTATTGACACATGTTTGCTGTGACCAACCTTTGCACCAACTTGGAACTAACGAATCACTGGATGGATGACACATTATGCTATTTATGTTTTTTTAAAAATGTTTATTGTATTTGTTCCATCCAACATCAGGCTGTCAATGTCCGTCCACGGTATTGATCCCATAGTAAATGTACGGTATTGTGTTGTAGCATCGGTGGTGGATTCATGGATGTGTGACTCACCCGTAAATTTGTTTTTCTTTCTGAGAAGATATACAAAAAACGGAGACTGAATAATTATTTTTTTTTTAAAGTTAGAGTTAGACGTAACACTCTAGCTAACTGTGTCAGATTATGATGCGTGCGTGTCAGATTGTGATGCGTGCGTGTCAGATTGTGATGCGTGCGTGTCAGATTATGATGCGTGCGTGTCAGATTATGATGAGTCTTTGTTGTATTTCCTTTGAACACGCCACTGCTTGTGCTCGTAAAATATTTGTTTCTATATTCAGTCACCGTAGCGTCTTCTGAGCATGGACAAAATAGGGTTTGTCATTTAATGGAACATCCGGGCATTGCGTCAGGCCAATATCATCAATATATCAATAAAACAATCTGGAATGTCGTTTGGCCATTCTCTCAACCGCTGTTCGGCTCTTTATTGTTAATGAGAGCCAGCAGTGTGTCTTAACCTACACTAAAACGGGTTAAAAACGTAATATTACGAAAGATTTTACAAACAAATTGTTACTGCAATATATAATGCGAAAATACATTGTTAGAGGATATGTTTTACGAAGACGTTGCCTAAAAATAGTAAGATTAAGTAATTGCGATGTGACGTTTTCCGGTCTTAGAAATGACAAACCCTATTGGGCGGAAACCAAGAAGTCTCGGCACGATGCTTCGCGGCTTCGTTATTGGGAATCAAACACTTAGTGTGAGCATTATTGTTCATAAGTAATGAAGATGCTCATTTGAGTGCCAGGGACGCAACTTGTTTTGGACAGAGCTTGAGATCGAGCGGGAAATGTTGTTTCATTTCCTCCAAAAACGCAAGAGCAGCGTTAATGATGATTCAAATTAATCTGTAAGCAAACGTATGGCAAGGGATTTATCTCTCCCCCCCTCCCAAAATTAAAAAAAAAAATATCCCTCAACAGCTGTTCGGTGCTGTAACGTTAATGTAAGCCAGCAAGGTGGGTCTTAACCTAGGCGAAAAAACGGGATTAGAACTTTATTTTGGGAAAGAGTTTACAGACAAATATTGTTACTGCTATATAGATGCGGAAAGCGGTGATTATTTTAGAAATTTTCCCCCGGGGGTGGGGGGCGCACTTCAGACTCCCCCCCCCCCCGCGCGGAATATAGCTGAACCCAACCCCGGCGGAAATACATAGCTGAACACAACCCTG